GAACATTACAAGGCAGCAGAGTGGAGGTGGGAAGAGCCAGGCTGGGGAGGTAGCCTGCCTGGCTGCGAGACTCTGAACAATTTTCTCATTCCCTCTGGGCCTCAGTTTCTTCATCTACAAGATAAGGATGGGAGTGCCTAGGTGGCTCAGTTGGTTAAGCATCCGACTTCGGCTCAGCTCATGATCTCACGGTCTGTGAGTTCGAGCCCCACGTCAGGCTCTGTGCTGACAGCTCAGAGCCTGGAGCCTGCTTCGGAGTGTCTCCCTCTCTCTCTGCCCCTCCCCTGCTCATACTCTGTCTCTCTCTGTCTCTCAAAATTGAATAAATGTTAAAAAAAATTTTTTTTAAATATATAAGGAGGAACCAAAGAATAGTAGTATCCCTCAGGGTTGTCCTGAGGGTGAAATGAATCAATACACAGACAGTAGCTTCAGAAGGGTATCTGGTCCATGGTGAGGCTCTAGAAGTGTTGATAGGTTATCTCATTTACCTTCACAACAGTCCAGTCGAGGATCATTGTCCTCGTTGTGGTTAGATGAGGCCCAGAGTGAGGCTCAGAGAGGGTAGATAACCTGCTTTAGGATACACAGCTCAGAAGTAGCAGGATTAGCTGAAAGTCAAAGCCAAGGTGATTTGACTCCAAAGACCCAGCTCTCCCTCTTATTGTGGTGCACGGTTCTCTGAGTGGGGAATTGCCTTAGCCTTACGTTTTTTTTCTTTAAATGTAAGTTACCTTTTTGATAACCAGTAGTACACAACTCAAAAGAAATAAAAGGGTGTACAGTGAAAAAGAAATTTCCCTTTCTCCCTCCTCTTCACTCAGCCTTCCTCTCCAGAGCCAACAGCTGTTACCAATTTCTTGCATGTCTTTCCAGAGTAAGCTTTAGACTGAGCTGCTCACTGCTTAACACACACTTATTTACCAGAGTAATGTAATTCCCTGAGTGCCTCATATGCATCAGGGACTTTTTTCTGGGCTACTGCTGCCTTCAGAGGGCTCACTGGCTTGAGTCTAGAAGTTATTTATGGAGGAACTTGCTGTACTGAGTGCTGCACCCAGTATTTTTCCCTCTCTGGCCATCTTTTCCCCCAGTACAACCAACATCCTGCGCACAGGAAAAGGCCGAAAGAAGTGCACAAAAAACCTCTTCTCTAACTTGGCTTTGCACAGACTCTGGCAAGCGAGGAGCACTCTGGTGTCAGAAGCCAACCAGAGGACTCTGGGGGGTGCTGGACAAATGTGACATCTCTCTGGGACCAGCTTCCTCCTCTGTGAAACTCCTGACCCTTCCAGCTCGTTAATCGTTTTGTCCGAAGGACTCTTGAGAAGGGTCATTTTCTGTGAAGCCTTGTTGCTTCTGGTCTCACTTCCAGCCCAAAAGGGCCAGCTACTCCACTGGTGACTGAGAATGGCCAAGAGGGCTGGAATGCCTTTTCCCTACTTTCCCACCATTGTTCTGTAGATGATAATGTCAAATGCCTTTTTTCCCCATGCTTCTGCCAGTTTATAACCGGGTCAGCCACATCACTGCTTTCTATAATGTAATTATAAAATATGTTTATAGATGTGCCTGGGTGGCTCAGTCATTTTAGCGTCTGACTTGGGCTCAGGTCATGATCTCGTGGTTTGTGAGTTCCAGCCCTGCGTCGGGCTCTGTGCTGACAGCTCGGAGCCTGGAACCTGCTTCGGATTCTGTGTGTGTGTCTCTCTCTGCCCCTCCCCTGCTCACACTCTGACTCTGTCTTTCAATAATAAAATAAACGTTAAAAATAAATTTAAAAATTAAAAAATATATATGCTTATAACCTTTGAGGTATAATTACATAAATGCAGAAGTTATGGGTGTTGGTGACTTCAGAAAATGGTTCCAATCATGACATGTGAATCCCTGTTCTCTCTTTCCAAATAGTAAGTATATGGCTAAGGGAGAGTGAGCATCAAGTAGGGAAGTCACCATTTTGGAAGCAACTATTATTATTCCCATTTCATAGACAGAGGCTCAGAGAGGTCAGGATGCTGGCCTAAGGTCACACAGCAGGCCAGTGGCAGAAGCAGGATCCTAGTCTGATTGGCACCAAAGCTCTATTTCTTTCCAATGCACCAGGCACCTCACAGAAAGGCCTGGGACTATGTTCTGCATTTTGAGAAATTCATTTTCTGGTGAGCTGAATATTCCAGAGAGCTGAACTGTCAGGTCAGGTTAAGGTTAGGAAAGGACAGGGGAAGGTAGAGACGGAGGTTCTCCAAGCCTAGGATTCTTTCCCCATCAAAATTCCATGAGCCTCTCCTTTTCAGTGGGTTGGAAGCTCCTCCCATCATGACACAGTCAGGACACAGTCTCCCATCACGATGAGGGGTAAAGGGGAGTCACATCTGCATTCTAATCCCTGCCTCTTTGTTTCTAGGTAGGTATACACTGTGGTTTTAGTTTGCATTTTCCGGGTGGCTAAGGCAATTCAACATCATATAGGTGTTTAATAATTGTTGGTGCCTTTCTTTACTCTGTCATATCTCTCATTCTTCTGTATCTTTGCACCCTTATCCCCTTTCCCAGGACCTGGCAAAGTGCAACCCCGAAAGATGCCCGAGTCTTGGGGCCCCAGATTTCTCTGTGTTGGCAGTTCTCTGCTTTGGGGAGTCAGTAGCCCTATGTTGTCTGTCTTCTGCCTACCTCCCAGCTCATCTTTCAGCTTTCCATCTCCTTCTACATGACTCTCCAGCCAGACTGGCAGGTTCAGATCCTCTCCAAGCCTCTGAGCATTTGCAGATACAATTCCCTCTGCCTTGGACACTATGTTCCCTTCCCACCACCATACTTTACCTGGCTAACTCTTAGGTATCAATCAAGTCCCACAGCATATCTCACTTCCTCCGGGAAGCCCTGCATGATGCTTTCCCTCACCCCCACCCACCAGTTTGGGTTAGTTGCCCCTTATTTGTGGCTAAGCAACATCCTGTACTTCCCCTCCTAGCACTTATCACACTGTGTTGCAATTGCCTGCTTGCTGGTCTGCTTCTCTTGCCCCTTCCTCATCCCTTTGAGATGAGACTTTTTGTATCCCATGATCCTTGAGCATCTGTGTTATTTATTGAATGGTCTGGCCCAGACGCCTTTAAACGAACAAAAATCTAACCTTCTGGGCCAGCTATACTAGAATCAAGGATTTCGAGCCATCATCCTCCATTTCCCACATCAATCCTCCTGTTTGACAAGGTATCGAGAAAACGAACACTTCTTGAGGATCTACTGTATGCCAAGCACCAAGACAGGCCCTTTACATGTAAAGCCATTTTCACAATTAGAAGGCTGGAAGCTCCACGTCTAGATAGCACTTTGAAACTCAAAGGCTCTGATGTGCAGTCATGCAACGAACAAGGAGAAAGGAGTGATACCACAACACTTTCCATCCTGTTAGTGGCAAAGAGATGTTAGTAGAGGGGGACCCCCACATAGCACCAGGCTCTGAGTCCCTGAATCTTCAGTGCCTCGCATATGGCAGCAGCACAGACAAGATTTGTCAAACAAATGAATGAACGGTTGAAGAGAGAACGCAGAAAGAGCAGATTGGAAGCCTAGGAAACCCATCTTTCTTTCCAGATCTGACCTAAAATATTCCCCCCACTTCCTCCATGTGTTGATACACAAAACTGGACGCTGAAGTATTTTTGTCTTGGGCAGCTGTCCACAGTGCCAGCCAAGGCTGATCCTTGCGATTTCTGCTCAGTCTCCATTGACTAAAAATGGCTACACCTAGTCACAAGGGAAGCTGAGAGATTGCTGGTTGTGAACCCAGGAGGAAAAGAGACAGATTTGGGGTAAACAGCTAGCAGTCTCTGCCACAGGACAGAAGGATCATCCTGGCTCTGCCAGTGTCACTGGCTGGCCATGAGTTATCACAGGATCACTGGATGCTCACTCTGGAAAGGCCCTTGGGGATAATTTAATTCCACCCCCTAATTTTACAAATGGAACACTAAGGCCTAGTGAGAGAAGTATTTCCTTCACTGTCAGAGTTGTTTGGTGCTAGGGTAATGCTGTTTTGCTTAATCAGTCAGTGCTTTATCTGCAAAGGGGATCTTTTTAAATTTTAGTTTAGTTTTAGTTTAAGTTTATTTATGTTGAGAGAGAGGGCACAAGCAGGGGAGGGGCAGGGAGAGAGGGAGAGAGAATCCCAAGCAGGCTCTGCACTGTTAGCTAGGAGCCTGATGTGTGGCTCGAACTTAGGAACTGCAAGATCATTACTTGAGCCAAAACCAAGAGTCAGACGTTTAACCTACTGAGCTACTCAGGTGCCCCATTATTATTATTATTATCATTATTATTGTTTATTTATTTATTTTGAGAGAGAGAGACAGAGAGCGTAAGCAGGGGAGGGACAGAGAGAGACACACAGAATCCGAAGCAGGCTCCAGGCTCTGAGCTGCCAGCACAGAGCCCGATGAGGGATTTGAACCTACCAAATGGAAGATGATAACCTGGGCCAAAGTTGGACGCTCAACAGACTGAGCCACCCAGGCACTCCTATTATTTTTTTTAAGTAGTTTTCACTCCCAGCGAGGAATGTGGAGCCCAACGCAGGGATTGAACTTATGACCCTGAGATCAAGACATGAGCTGAGATCAAGAATTGGAAAGTTGGATGCTTAAATAACTGAACCACCCAAGCGCCCTTGAAAAGTGGGTCTTTAAACAAGAGAACCTTCTCATCTCCTTCCTGAAAGCACTGTGAAGTTTACATTTCAACGATAAAGAAAAAAGCATTAAAAGCAATACAAGTTAAGATGTTGATGAAATAATGATTATAACAATGGGAGTAAATGATTCTTTAGTTACTTAGAAGGCTCTTCTGTGTCCTGTGGTCCTTAAGAGTCTTCATTATTAGGAACATCAGCTACCCCCCTTCCCCCCCCACACACACATAATACTGCAAAATCCTTTAGCTGACCATGTGTATGAGGGGTGAAACTCTACCACATTGGATAAAAGACCAAGTACCAGTTGTGTAAATTTGTGCAATTATTTCACCTTTGAGCTTTAGTTCTTTCACCAATAAAATGGAAATGATAATATCTACCTCTCAGGTTTGTTGTGGGGATTAAACAAGAAATGAAAACCACTTGATGTAATATTTGGCACCTAGTTGGGACCCAATAAACGTTAAGTTTCTGTTGTTATATAACTGCAATTCTTTCTGTGAATACCTAGGGGACCAATACATAATGATTGATATAATCACTCTCGAAAGGGGCACTTTCAACATTTAATCAACTAATAGGATGTTTTCTTAATATCTGCAATCGCTGAACTAGGTACCTAATATCCATTGAGAAAAAGATAAGCAACTCTACCCAAGGGAGACTGAACCCTAAACAGAAAGTAACAGCACTATATGACAAGCTTAGGGGACAGAATGGGTGGGGGGGGCAGGGGGGGGGCTAGGAAGTCTGCTTACCTGAGTGATGGAGGACTTTCTTGAGGAGGTTATATGCTTCATGGGGAAGAAGTAGGAGCTGTCAGATAGAAGGGAAACAGGCAGGGGAGGACACAGATGTGTAAGGAAGCACATTTTCTAAAATGACGGAGCTATTTCAGTACTGCTGGAACAGTAAAATAAATAAATAAAAAGCTTTAGCAAAAGAGAAGGGACAGGTGATTGACAGCAGTGGGTTTCTGATTGATTTTATCTTGCCGGAGATGGGGAGCCACTGGAGAATTGGGGGCAGGGAGATAATGCGAAAGGGGTAAATGGAAGAAGTGGGAAAATTACACCGCAGGTAAGTATTCGTGACTACGAAAGAGAACGCTGGCTGGCTCAAGGCCACACCCACCTTCCTTCAGTTTTTCAAATAGTTACCCAGGACCCGCAGAGAACCAGGCTCAATTCCAGGAGTTGGAAATCAGGCAGTGAACAGTACTGGAAAGGTCTCTGTTCTCATGGAAGAGACTGATACTAGATAAACAAGTAAACAAGCAAGGAAGTATCAGATAAGAGCCTCTTGGAAAATCAAACCAGGTGATAAAAGAGTCCCGAGGGGCTGTTCCTACCTGCCCCCTCACTTCTGAATCTTCGCCAAGCCTTCTCTAGATCTAAGTTTGGTTTCCCAAGGAGGCTTTGCTCTTAGAAAAAAAAAATCTCTACGGTAAATAATTAACTCAGCTCTCTGTGCACTTCCAATAAGCCTGCGTGGAGATAGCTAGTCTTCTCCAGGGCCTGGTCAGTTTGTAATCCTTGCTTTGGGGCCACCCACTTCTGGTACAAATCTCAAGTGTAAGGCTAGGGGAAGGTCACAGCAACCTTGAGACCTTTCCTGATCATTGTTCCCATGGCAACGTATGACATCCCCTCTCAGCAGGCCCCCTCCTTTATATATATGTATATGTGTGTATGTGTGTGTGTGTGTATATATATATATATCTATATATATCTATATATATCTATATCTCCTTTATAAGAGAAACCGTTTGATAGCATGGTTGAAATTGTGTATTCCTGTCCTCTGAAAAGTGCAAACTTTTAAAATACTCCCGCTGCTCCTGGCAGGAGCTCCCCCCACGTCCCTGCCCCGCCCCAGTTCCCCGGTCTCTAGAGGGCTGGTCGGGGAATCCCCACCGATGCCTTCCCTACTGCCCGAGCTGGAGGTTGGCTTGTCACCACCAGGGCTCTATGTATGTCAGGGCTCCCAGGAGCCAAAGGGATGTGGGCTAAGAACAAAAAAGCAAACATTGTTATAGGTAGCCAGGAGAGATCAGGAACTGAGAAAGTTGATTTCTCAGCGTGCATGGCCATGGTCTTCCCCCTTTTGACACATGTACTCACCGTGAAGGCTCCCCACCCACCAAAAATGTGTGTATGTGTATGTGTGTATACACATGCATATGTCTGTATGTACATGTATACATATGTATGTATATATGTGCATATATGTGTGTGTGTATATATACATATACATATACATATACATATATAAAATGAAAGCTGAGACACAGGAAAGTTCTCTGTGTTTTAGGGAAATTTAGTGAAAGCCCCAGGAGGGCCAGCTTCTCTGGACTGTTTGTTGGAAAGTCGTAGTTTGCCCTTTGGGAACTTTAGCAGTCAGTGATGACTAAATTAGGGCCCCTACTCACAGGAGTTTTTAATTCTACTTGGGAGGAAGAAGACGCTAATAAAAACCTTCCTTTCCTTTTCTTTCTTCTCCTTCTTCTCCTTCTTCTTCTTCTTCTTCTTCTTCTTCTTCTTCTTCTTCTTCTTCTTCTTCTTCTTTTGTTTTTGTTTTTAGCAGTTTACACTTTAGGTGCTTGAGCATTCCTAATGTCATTAAAATGATAAACTCAGAGCCCAAAGGAAATTTAGAGAACAACTGGGAAGGGCAGGGGAGTGGCAAATACCTGCCCTAATACCAGCCACTTCCTCAGCTCCTGCCCCTGGTAGACATTGCTAATCGATCACTCATTCATTCATTCATTCATTATTGAACACTTACTTATTGGACATCGTCCATGTTCCATATGTTAGGAATACAGAAGGAAACCAGACAGACTTGCTTGCTACTCTTATGGACCTCCAAGGGGGAGACAGACATTAAATAAATAATTACACGCATGAAGAGTGTTTCGAATAGGCAGAGTATGGGGGCAGACAAGGGCATCACATAGGCATCACCTGGAAATAACCTAGGGGTGGAGAGGGGTCAGGAAAGGCCTTTCTGAGGAAGTAATGTTTAAGCTGAGGTCTAGAGGATGAGGAAACTGAGTCTCTTGGAGGGTGAAAAAAGCAGTACATACTGAAATGAAGAGGACATGGGTCAGCGCCTGCTCCATGGCTAAATGAGAGGGTATGGATACTAAATGGGGGGTAGTTGTTTAGAGAGAAACAGAGGTTGCTCTAGCCAGGCATTGGAAGAAGGACTGGAGAGGACTGGAAGGTCAGATTGAGCAAAGGTCCAATTTATTGTTTATCCACCCCCTTCCTGGGGAATTATGTCCTCACAGGCTATTAAAAAAAAGCTATAAATTATGGGCTATCTACTAAGTAGTGGCAATTCTTATGAAGTCTTCCATCTTCCTTGTGAGATAAGTATTATTTTTCCACTTTTACAGATTAGAAAAAAAAAGGGTTGGGAGGACTAGAGAGACATTTGCTTGCTAAAGTTGGCCATCAAGTAGGCAACAGAGCTAGTATTTGAGCAGCTACACTTTCCACACTCCTCACTGCCATAAAATCCCCAGACCGGGGCATGCTCTAAAAGCAATCAAATAAAACTTGGAAAGCAACAGAAGAGCTTTAATTCCAAAGTACTGCTGGGAGAAAAGGGTCGGCAGAGATGCCCCAGGTGAGGCAGAAGAATGAGAGGAAGAAACTGAGTCCTGGTGGGGGGGGGGGGCGGAGGAGGGAGCGGGGCGTAGGAGGGGTAGGAATGGGAAGGCGTGACAAGTGACCGGGAGGGCGTCCTGGGCTGCTTCAGGACTGCGCTGCTGCGGGGAGTTGCCCAGCTCTAACCACTACCCGGCCCTGCCCGGTTAATCATTTCCTGACCTTCCTTCCCCCTTTCGCCCTGCCCGCACGATTGCCACATCAGCCCCCACCCCCACCCCGCCCCCGCTCGCCTCCTGGCCCTGCAGCTCCTTCGCCGGGTTTTACAAGAAGCTCCAACTTTGAGGCAATATTTGTAATAGCCCCGGACGTCCTCAAGGCCATTCCCCAGAGAGATCGCGGGCTAGCTCGGGTGTAATGACTGCCCAAGCGGCCGGTTGAGGATTGCCCTGGCCCCTTTTTCTACAGAGCGGTCTGAGAGCTAGGGATCCAGTCCTCGCGTGGATTAACCAATTCCCCAGGCCAAAAAGGGTAGGGTAACGGCAGCTAGCAGAGCGGTGCGAGGTTTAAATGAGATATTGTGTGTCAAGTGCCTGGCTAGTAG